AGTGCCCTTTGCCCCAGCATCTGGGTTTTCAGTGTGTCTACCTCAGCTTGTAGACGTTTCAGCTGTTCGTCCTTGTCATCTTCAGGACTCTTTCTGATCAGATTCCCCATGAGGAGTGCCCTCAACTCTTCCTGCCCCTTGGCTAGACCTAAGAAGATTTCCTTGAACTGAGACTCTTGAGCGTGGAGGTCCTGGTTATCTTGTTGTGAGGCCATTGCTGAAATAAACAGCGAGAAAGGTAAGTGACCTGCAAAAGGGATACCTGTAATGCGATGATGTGTATGATATGCATGCAATGTTTTCAAGAACCTCGCAGGGTAAACAGAGAAACTTGTTAGAGTTGAAAGCCGGTAACTTGATTGAAGGTACTTCATGTTGTTGAGAGTCCTTCTTCAAGGGTCAAAGGCTCACCATATCCAGTGGGTCATAGCCCCTGACTTTAGTCATCAAGTTTAATTTTGATTTCCCAGCAACCTGGGAGCCTTCTTCAGGAGTCAGAGCTCACCATATCAAGTGGGTCATAGCCCCTGACAACCTTGGCTAGAGGAAAATAAATCCTCTTTGCCCCTTGCTGGGATAATTGTCCATCATGACCTGCATCACAAGCCCTTGAGATCCTTGAAATGGGTTAGGATGTATGCAATGGTATGATGTTATGCTATGCGTGGGGTAATGTGAGTAACCCTGTTATGAGTCCCAATTGAGGACTATAAACAGACCCTGCAAGGAATTCAGTATCCTGTTATGAGTCCCAGTTAAGGACTATAAACAACACCTGCAAGAAATTAGGTAAACCCTGTCATGAGTCCTAGTTAAGGACTATACACAAGACCTGCAAGAAATTAGGTAAACCCTGTCATGAGTCCTAGTTAAGGACTATAAACAGAACCTGCAAATGGTTAGTACACCCTGTTATAAGTCCCAATTAAGGACTATGAACAAAACCTGCAAGAAACAAGTGTTAGGTAACAAGCACGCAGATAGTCAAGTACGAAGGCACACAAGTCACACAAAAGAGCCCTTAAGGTTTAGGCCAGCATGAGGTCTGGGTAATACCCTCTTTCAGTTTGTTGGTTAAGACCTGTCCTATCAGAAGTAACCGGGTTCTAGAGGATCCCAATATCACTGACTACCCTCAATCGGTCATAACTCCAGCATCGCAATCTTTTCTTGCGGCCAGAACCATCACGAGAGTTTAGCCTCAATGGGCGTAGCATACTGCTACTGTTTCTATTGGCCAAGTTGGGTCATTTAAGGTTCTAAGGTCTGTTGGTGCTTAATGACTCCTTGGAAGACCCATATTCTCCCCGTTTCAACACGAGGGATATCGGTACAGACCAAGGCGCCACACCAACGTAGCCACTGCTTCACCCATGTCGGTATACGCCGGACAGGTCCCTCACAGCTTATGCTACCTAAACAGGGTACCCCCAGATCCGGGTTAGGATCTATGTAACTCCCATGCAACCCACAATAGTAAAGCAAGCAAATCAATACAATTGAAAACACAGTTATGAACTAAGCCCTAAGGTACACCTCACTTTATAAGATAGTCCCCAGCAGAGTCGCCAGTTCTGTGATCGGTGGATCTGGAACTGACTGTTTAACGCTGGTTCGCGAAATGTCGCGGAAGCAAGAGTCGCCACCGTCTTTTATTTTCTCCAAATGGAAAGGACAAAAGCACAGAAAAATTCCTCTTAAGAGATTGCTCTCGGTTCGGGAGGTAGGTTATAGAAAGGGAAGGTGTTAGCACCCTTTCTATCCATGGTTATCCATGGGCTCTTAGATACTTGCTCAATGTGTTTTCAAAATTGTTTGCTTGCTTTTCAATGTGGGTTTAAAAAGTTTCTTTGAAAATTTTCAGATCGACTCATACGTCAGAGTGTTTGAAAAGTTTGCTTTGGAAAGCTTTTGAAAATGTGTCAATGTGAAAAGCCTTTTGATTTGTTTGAAATTAGAGCAAGTATCCTTGAGAACCTACCTACCCTAAGGAATTCGTCTGTGTAAGAGTCCTTTAAAGTAGTGCCATCCCACCATTGAGAGGTAGGTAGCACCACCGTTGGAGGTATTCGGGTCAATTCGAAGGTTCGGGACATGGTGATCACCGGAGCAATAGGAAGACACCTTAGAAGCTACCCTCATGCCAGGTTCCCGGATCATGAGGACTTACTAAGACATCCTCTACTCGACGATCACCTTTCGAAAGGCAACAGTGAGGCGTACCCTGGGGGTGGTGTGTGATTTTGTGTGTCGTTTCAGATATTTTTGTCTTTTCATGTTATGGTGATCTACGCTTGTTTTTATTTGTCCATTCATTCTTACAGGCATATTTAACAGTTATAAAGTTGCGGAAAAATAAATCTAAGATTATTACAAAGGCGCGGGTCCACATCGCCAAAATTAAACCGGACCCGATTTAGCGGAAAATAAATAATGCGAAGAAATAAAGTGCGAAAAGTAAATTACATGGCTTAGGGACAATTACATAATTATAATTAAACGACATAAGATAAATGCGCAAATTAAGGAAATTAAAACAAAAATAGGGCGTTGGACCCTTTTACAAACAATTAAAATTAATAAGAAAATTAAAATTAAGTGACTAAATGTTTTTTTGGTATTTTGTGTTTTTTAGATTTAAAAGAAAAAAAAAAGGAGTTGATAAAAATTAAATTAAGAAGCAAACCCTAATTCTAATATTTTTTAGTTATTTAAGAAAGAATTAAAATAAGATCTAAATTAAACCTAAAATTTCTTATGTACAATTTAAATAGGAAAATAAATAAATAAATAAGTATTATTATGGTGGAAAAAAAAGGAAAAAATATTAAAAGGAATAAAAAATAGCAATTAACCTAATTCTACATTTTTTGGATTTTTATTAAAAAGAAATTAATATTAAAACCTAATTAAACTAAGTAATCTACATTAATATTAATTCAAATAAATAATTAAAAAATATGAGAATACTTCCCCTTGGGCCTAGTGGTCGTGCATAGGCTTGGCATGAAGAAATTTGGAAGATAATTGGGCCCATTTGCATTTTTAGGCCTTTTGCATCCTTGTTGACTTTCAAAAATTTCCAAAAATTTCCCAACTTCCACAAGGCATAACTTGGTCAATTTTTAAGCTTTTCACATGTTCTTGGACATTTTGGAAAGGTCTTTGAGTCCTTTAACCAATGCCTTTGGTCCCATGTCATTTTGATTTACCAATCTCAAGTTATGGCCTTTGACTTAAAGTCACTTTTTGTTGACTTTTGAAAATGACCTATAATGTTGAAATTGATAACTTTTTGTGAGAGCATTTCTTGGACTTGGAACATGAAGATGAATTGTAGGAAATGTCTTTCTCTTCAAAATGAGCTTTGGATGGAATTTTTATGATAATCCATGTGAAAGTTATGCCCTGGTCAATTTCAGTTGACTTTTTCAGCTGTCCAAATATAGCAACTTTTGCATCTTTGATGATTTCTGAGCCAAATTTTGAGAATCATGATCAAGCATTGATCAAATGATGTTTGTGGCTTCAAAATGATATGTTGACCAAAAATTTGAATTTTTGACTGTCAAATGACCATTTTGCCCCTACAGTTGACTGTAGTGCAATCTAGGGTTTTGACTGTGCAATTTTGAGCTGAATGCCTTGAAACTTGACATGAAGACACTTGACCATCTTTTTAAGCATATGAGACTTGATTAGGCCTTTGAAAAGTTCATTTTCTTGATCAGAACTCAAACCCTAGTTTTGACTGTCTAGGAGACAGTTGAGCTGCACAACCCTGGGGACTTTTGTGACCTTGACTTGGCAATTCTTGATGAATATGGGAGGGCAAATTTTGGGGTACAACACTCATTAAATGAAAATCATCATTGCGTTGCAATTTTCAAATTTTATTTTTAATTGTTTATTATTCATCTTTTTCCACTCAACGTATTTATTGCTAAACCTATTTAAATTATTTTTCACACTTTTACAATCTTTTCTGCAAACAAAAACTCTCTTGCTCTCAAAACCCTTTTCGAAACCCATTTTCAAAACCCTTTTCAATCTCTCTTCTCCTTCTTCTCAAATGGCTTCATCTTCAAAAGCAACCCAGTTGATGGATGTTGAGAACATCAACGATGCTCAAAGGCCTCAAAATTAATACAAGTTAACCGCTATCCCTAGGGCTACTTACATCCTAGTTGAAGAACTTGAAGTTTGTTGTGAACTGATGGTTGATGTTCAAAATCTCAAAGACAATGGATTTGATCTTGAACTGGAAATCAATCACCAAGGTTGGGAAATGTTCTTCAATCGTCTGTATGGACCAGTCTACAACACTCTTGTTAAAGAACTCTGGATTTTTGCTCACCCTATTCCTACAAGAATAGTCTCATGCGTTTTGGGGAAGATCATTGTAATCACTGAAGACAGGATCAAAAGGTTAATGGGTCTGACCAAAAAGGAAGGTGTTTACATGGCACCTGCTAGAGGATTGTCTCAAAGAGTGCTCAATGAAGTGTTTACAGATGGAGTCATGTCAAACAAAATCAAGAATCTCAAAAACCATTACAAAGTCTGGGCTAGGATCATCACAGGATGCATCCATCACAAGAAGGATTCAAGTTCCCCATACTACATAAATGATGACCAAGTCTACTTGATGTATTGCACTGGGATTGTTAAGAAGATTTATCTCCCATTTTTACTGTTTAATCATCTTTTCACCCATGTGAAAGAGACCAGGGAAGAAGCTAGAACAAAGAATTCTAGGGAAGAAGATTGCTCCAATTGGATCTGCTCCTACTGACATCAGTACCAGAAGAATTCCAGTGGAGGAGTATCCCATGTTCAATGAAGAGGAACCTCTGGAAGTGATCCTCAGCTACATTCAACTTTGTAAAGAAAAATGTGAAAAGATAGATCCCTCTATGCTGACAAGACAAGATGTGATAAATGCATTGAGAAAGAGGAAATAACTTGCTGGCATTGTCACAGAGCTTGAACATGACCTTATGCAACAAGGTCAGGAGCCTGAAGAAATTGTACAAGTACATGTTCAGTTGGATAAGAAGAAGAGGGAAGTTATTTCAACTCTTGTTGTTGCTGCTAAAGTTATTCAATCTTCTGCTGCTGCTACTACTGATGGAGCGTTTGCAACCTCTGCTTCAACTGCTGCTGCAACTCAAGAGCAACCAGTGCTGAAGAAAAGAAATAAAGCTGATGATGTGCCTCCTGCTGTTCAAACTCCTGATGTTCAAAACCCTGTTGCTTTTGTTCCAACCATACCTCTGGTTCAACATACTACTGCTGCAGTTCAACTCTCTGTTCCAGCCCCAACTACAAATATCCAAAAGAGGAAAGAAGTTGATGAAGCATCCATTCTTGCCTCTCCCGTGCCAAGGAAGAAAAGGACACTGGTGAAAGCGTCTACTCTAAAAGGAAAATCCATTGTCTCTGTTGTGCCTGTAACTACTGCTAAATCAGCTATCACTCCAACTACTTTGTCATTTACTGATTCTGAAACTGAGTCTAAGGATATCGAAGGCATGCTGAAAAGAATACCTAGAAAATATATCATTCCTCAATCCCCTGAACCTGTAGAATCTTCAGAGAGTGATCCTTTAGATAAATTAAGAGTAGAATTTGAAGCCCCCGAAAACTCTTTTGATGAGAACTCTTCATCCTCTGATGATAATACTATATAACAAACCTCACTTGTAGATAACACAAAATACTTCAACCTCTCAACAAAATTCTGACCATACTATACAAAATCCACAAACCTCTGAAACTCATATAGAAAATCCAGCCGCTGATACAACCATACATAATCTTGCAATAACAACCACATCAGATGCTGAACCATCAACATATGATACCTCAAACACTCTTGTAACTGATCCAGATTTTCACCAAATATTATCTCGTTTTGAGATTCCTGGAATCAACTGTCCCTTACGCACAATTCCTTTACCTGACCAAAACATTTTTTCCATTCCCAAACCTACCTCAAATAACTTAGAAATTGTTCAAACCCAAGTTACTGAGAAAATACCAACTCCACCCCACTCACCAGCACATGAAACAACTGAAACCTCACCAGCACATGAATCCTCTGAAACTTCCCAAGACCCAAAGTCACCTGAACATCTGAACCTTGTAGCACAAAACTCTGTCTTTTACAGAACTGAAATTGACCCTCGGTCATTTCAAGTTCTAATTGACCTGACCAAACCTACTAAGAGAGTTATCCCTAGAACCTCAGTTGTCTTCGATAAGCTTCACAGTTTCAGGTCAGAGGTTAATGACTGGTTTGATGATTTGGAGAATCAACTGCAGTCAAGTATGAGTCAGTGGAAGTTGATGACTGCTGGAATGCTTTCAATTCTATGTTTGCCAAGAAATCAACAAGGATGCAGAACTTCTGTCACCAACATGTTGCTGATAAGGCAGAAGAATTCTTGCAGAAGGTTAAAGCTGCTTCGCAGGAATTATGGGATTCTAAGAATGCTAATATGCTAGAATTTGGAGACCACCAGCACCTGAGTCCATAATGCAATTGGTTTCTGCTGGCATCTCAACTGCTGAAGATTCTGCTGCTGGAGACAAACAGAAAACTGTTGAAGAAGAAGAAGAAATAATTGTGGAAGAACCTGCTGACAACTACATCGTTGACTTGGATGCTGCTGAGTCATCTAATGCTCAAAATCAGTTGGTTGACCTTAGAAGAGAAAATCAGCTAATTCACCAACGTCTGGACCAGCATGAAGCAAACTTCACAGAGTTTGTCAAGTCTCAACAATATGCTCATGAGGAGCTTAAATCACTAATTTTGGCCTTATCTTCAAAGAAATGAAGATTTTTTTCTTCTGATTTCATCTGTTTTTAAAACTCTGTTCTATGTTTTGTTCAATTAAGTCTTTGTTGTTTTATTTTAAAATGCTGAAACTCTGTTTACATTAATTTTTTTGATTAATTTTCAATGAAGTTTCTCCTTTCTATTCATTAGTATTTTTACCTGTATCTTTACTGTTTTTAATATTTTTTTATTATGACAAAAAGGGGGAGAACACGTGAAATGGATAGTCTGACATAACAGTTTGCCTAACACAATGATCTCAGACATTTTTCTAATGGAACAAAAGTGTTTCCTTATGTTTTTGTGTTTCTCTGAGTGTTTACAGGTACATCAAAGCTCTGTACAAAGAAAGATCAACAAATCTCTTACATTCCTATAAGAAGATATAAAATCTCTGATAAGAAGTCACTACGAGTCAAGCTCTGAAAATCCTTAACTCTGACATCAAATGACCTTCTCAAAAGATCTGATACTAAAATGCAGTAAGCTCTGATACAAAGATATATTGAAGCTCTGACATAGCTCTAAAGTAAAGATCTGCTAGTCAAAATATTCAATTACAAAGCTCTGCTACAAAGATTTGATCATAAAGCTATGAACCTTGAAGGACCTCAAAGTCAAAGCTCTGATCCAGAATTATAAAATCTCAGGGAAATTATCTTTCACCCTTTATTTATTTTAGGGGGAGATTATTAATCTCAGGGGGAGATTTTTTATCATATTCTATAAAACTGTTTTTTCAAAACTTTTTGTTTTTGTCATCATAAAAAGGGGGAGATTGTTAGAACATGGAATGTTGCTAGCATATATTAGTTTTGATGATAACATAAGTAAAATATAGGTATTAAATTTTACATTAAGAATATGATACTCTGATGTAGAATTTATCTTTGTGCAGATCCCAGAACTCAGAAATTCTGCCAATCAAGGCTTCCTCTAACATTTGCAAGGGTTGCAACCTCTGAAAAGGATAAGCTCTTGAAAAAAAGAATGAAGTGCTGAACATTCTCAACAACAAACCTTCATCTGCTGACTGAATCACTGTAAGTTAATTTAAAGTCTCTATTATTCCAAAGTGTTTGACTTTGCATTTAATGCACGCACAAACAACTGAGTATGTGGCATACTGCTCAAGACATAGCTTGCACGTTGCTTTCCTTAAAAGAGTCAAGTCTTTTGACATTGCAAAAAGGATAAAGCTAGCATTCCATTTTTGGAAAGAGGACAAGCTCAACGTTCCTCTATGAACTGCCAACCTCTGACATGTGAAAGCGACAGGTGTCCTTTCAACGATCATTTCTTGGAGTATTTAAACAAGACTTCAGCCATGAAGAAACATTACACATATGTTCCAAACTCACTACAAAATATTCACACGAACGAACAATCTATTACAAACTTCATTCTACTTCCTAAAATAGGCTTTTGTCGTAGGAATTAATTTTTTACACATCACTTTTGTGATCTTCTGTGTAAACAACTATCAAATATTTTATTTGTTGTAAGTTCCTTAGGAGATCTAGGTAGATCTGTATTCCTGAGAAGTTTAAGGTTAGTTTAATCTTAATGATTGTAGTTAGTCACAACTGTAGTTGTGCAGCTTCTAATCAGCTTGGATTATAGTGGATTAAGTCCTTAAGTGATAAGGAAAATCACCTTGACGGGTGGACTGGAGTAGTTGAGTTCAACGAACCAGGATAAAAGTACTTGTGTTGTTGTTTACTGTCTTAAAATTTTTGAAACCAAACTTATTCAAACCCCCCTTTATAAGTGGTTTCTCTCCTTCAAGTAGCGGCAACAATGGTTAGACTATGTCCACAATGAGGACCAGGAGCTTCTTCATCACTATCCCAAAATCTTTCTATAGGTCTATAAGTTGGAGCAGGATGTAGCCACGGTTTCAACCCCATCACAAAATTGGAGGATGAAAACAAACCCTAACGAAAAGGTTCAGCAATGAATATTTGAAATTCAAACTTCAAAGTGCAACATATAGAAACTGTCTTAGAGAGTCGGAGTACATCAATAACAGCAGCACAAAATATATATGATATACCTACATAGTACATATACATAATCGAAGGGAAAAACATGATGTTAACTTTTATACTCTCTAAATTGATTCCTCAAACAAAAAGATCATTTGTTTTCCATCAATATATCTTCAACTTGTGGCTGCATTTTTAGAACTTCATTGTAATATGTATTTCTTTTCAAGAAGAGTTGCGGGATTCATTTTCAGTCCCTAAAATATAGAAGGTGTAGTAGTATATTATGGATAACATATATAACCAACTAAGGTTTAACCATTTAATATAATATAAAAAAAGTGTGTTTTTTCGAAGTCTCAAAATTACACTATACAATTTCTTTCACATAGGCAATATCTTAGGGCAAGTTTAAACAAACTTCTAACTTCTAGAAACTTTTCAACTGAGTTATGTATTCAGCTCCTAATTTCTTTCACAATATAAAGGTTTCACATGTCCTTGAACAATATCACAACCGCAAATGCAACAACATCATCCACATTAGTTTTCATAAGCTCGCAGTGTAACCACAAGTACAATGTAGAAACATCATCCTAATAAATTGTACAAAATTTGAAATGAGTAGAATAATATTTGAAACATTCCGATAACTAAGAGGACCTGAAACTATCAACCCCCACCACCTTGCAACATATCACTACCCTCTCAGTTCATGATTCAACAACAATTCTCTGAATCACACAACACCATGTAACTCTCGTACTCATTCTCAATTATCATCATCATTCTTTCAGCTCTCACTCAATTAGTACACACAACAGAAATACAACAAAGAAAAGGAAAATAAGCAGAGTAATTACAATCATACAGAAGAACACACAGAAGCAACAAAGAACATCAAAAAATAAAAGCAAAGTCTCGAGAATTCAAAAAGAAAGAAGAAGGAGAAGATTAGAGAAAGAAACAAGGCCATCACAATTTAAAAGATTACCTTTTGAAGCTGCCAGAATCAGTGAGACCTCGCTGAAATCTGGGTAATCCCACCGGAAAGTTCATAGCCACTTAATTCTGACGAGTCTTTTAACAAGCCGTGTACATTTTTTTAGCCTAAGCCATGCCCTCGTCATGAATTGCGCTTCAACTTACTGTCTTCATCGCATTTGACCCAATTGGTGCGGTTAGGGTTTGGAGAGGTACCTTCAACTTTTCATCTTATGTAGCTTTAAGAATCTTCTTCCTCAACTGATCCTTCGCCTTAATTCTCTTCCTCTCCTTCTCCATTTCATCATTTTCAGCCGGACCCTTATCTTCCGGGAGTGGAGCTACCCGAACAGGGTAAGACACAAGAGTAATCGACGGGGCGTCCTTCAGAAGATAGAGAAATAAAAGGAAGTGAGAGACATGATTTGCGGTTGAATGTTTGATGGTTTCCGGACGGTGGACCTTCAACGACGGAGAAGCAAGACGAGTCTTGATTTTGGGACGGCTGCGCTAGGGTTCAGGTGACATTTTGGACGAAGGATACTGTAAAAGTAAATTGATATTTTGTTTAAAAATGAATTACTAACATTTTGTGATATCATATATATATATATATTATTTGTTAACTTAAAATAATAAAATAAAAGATAAAAAGATAAAACTTCTTTCTTAAAATTAGAAATGTGGATGGAATTAAAATCTTAAATAAATAAAGAAGAAAAATATAAAGGAAATTGTAATTTAATAAATAAAATTATGAAAATCTTAAAATAATATTGATGGGTGTGAAAATTTATTTTGTTGGTAATTTATTTTATTATTATTATTATTATTATTATTATTATTATTATTATTATTATTATTATTATTATTATTATTATTATTATTATTATTATTAATAATAATAAAAGAGAAAAAGAAGGGGAAATGAAAGAAAAAAAGTGGGAAAGTAAAAGAATAAAAAAAAGTAGCGATTATGATTGGCTAATGTAGTTACGACAGTTCACCTAATTGTCGCGGATGTGAAAAGAGGGCGGTTTTTTGGTAACTGTCGCAATTATGTTACTCATAATGCTTGAAAATCTACGACGGTTGAGCCTAACCGTCGTGACAACTGTCGCAATTCAGGAATAAGGACGGTTTTGTGGGAACTGTCGCAATTTATGTGTCGTAAATCTCTTTTTTTCTTGTAGTGAGTAAGATGTTGTAACATCTTAATCAAATGTCATTACAGCAGATACTGTTATGTGTGTCTTCAAGATGTCAAACCAAAAGTCGTGACATCTTAGTCTTTGTACAACAGATGTTGTTGGTGTATATCTCTTGACAGATTTAATTTGATTTGATGAGATATTTTTGGAATATTACTCACTAGCTTGCACAAGTCAAGAAGATTTATTTGGAACAACTAATGATTTGATTTATATCATAAAAAGGATTATTGAGACTTTTTAGGATATATTTAAAAAGTTGTTTCTATTTTTTAAGACTCAATCAAAATATGTTTGAATGGAGACATTCTAAATTTGGAGAAAACATTCTAAATTTGGAGAAGACTGTCTAATTTTGGAAGAAGACTTTGTATGTATTGGGTTAATTTTAATAAAATAATTAATAGCAATAACAATGTATGGTTCAGTAGGATTATAATCAACCACTAATCCTATTGAAGATTGTAAACTTGTTGTGTTGAAAAAGTCAACATCTGGGACAATGTGTTGGATGCGATGTCACGACATCTGACATCAGACATCACGCCAACAGAACTGTTAATTCAGTTACAGTTCTGGTACTTAAATTGAGCTGAATATTCTGAGAATATTTAGTAATCATATGTGGCATTATTTGTGGAGGTCTTGAAGAATCAATCAGAAGTCTTGAAGAATCAATCAGAAGACTTGAAGAAGATACAGTTTCTAAATATGGAGATATTTTAGGAACTAAAAGATTGAAGACCTTGATTGTAGCAGTAGTTAGATGTTGATTTGTAACAGTAAGAAGAAAAGCTTGCTGCGATTTTGAAGGCCCAAATCCAATTGGGTAATAGGTTATAAATATCATATTGTAACCTAGGTTTTGTAAGCCTCAAATAATGTAAAATTAGAGGTGTGTGTGAGGTAAACCTCCCAGTCTGTGGGAAGGTTACCATGTGTGTATCTTGAAGCCTGTAGGCAAGAGATTGTGTTATTAGATGAAGCTTTGAAGCAAGTCTAAGTATTTTGCATTACTTCATGTTAATTGTAATGTAGGAAACAAAGTGGGAAGGCAATGCTCCTTGAGTAGGAGTAAGACTTCTGTTGTTGCGGCAATAAGAATGGAAACTGGAGGTTTCTATCTAGGAGTTCCTAGGTATAGGTTGCATTGGGTAGGAATTAAGTGAGGAGTGTGAACTAGGAGAGTTTAGCTCTGAATTAACACTGTTGATAGTGTATCTTCTTCCTAGCTTGGTATGCCCCTATAGTAGGTGTGTTTCACCGAACTGGGTTAACAATTTCCTTGTGTTTTTTACCTTCTGCACTTTAAATTATCTCTGTTGTAACTTAGGTAAAAACTGTGTGACTTTTACAGATGATGTCAAATAAGATGCTTAGACATCATGCTGATTTGTGTGCATGATAAACATAATTGATGGTCTGTTTGTTTCATGATATGTGATAGATGATGTTACAACCAACGTTGAGACATCATGCTATGTGTGCAGGTTTAACAGAACTAAGTGGTTTGTTAGATCTCAGTTGTGGTTAATTGTACCAGATAGACTGAATTGGGTGTTCTGTCAATATGTGGTGATGTAGTAGCAGATGTTGTGAAATCTGTGAATTTGATGTGTATTCAGTACATAACTTTAAAATTGGGTACCTACCTTGCTGGAGTTTTTATAATGTCAGCTCAGATGTCAAGACATGAAGTGGCACATCTGAACCCTGACTACACCAGAATTTCAGTGGTGAGTGCAAATATTCGTGGCTTACTTCTTCTTGTGGAGTGCCAACCATGTGTGCAAAGTAACTACACGTGCCTAATTTTCCCTTAATTCAGATTTTGCATGTGAAGAGTGAATTGAAGTGTGGGCCTGATTCAGTTGCTTGAGATGGAACTAACACATCTCAAATGTGTTATTACACGTGTGTGGGCACTCATTTGCTCTCGAATTGAGTTAATTTGCAAAATCACATGTTGAAACCTCATTCTTTCTTTTGATGCAAACAAGCATACATGCCATTTTTGGATTTAGGCCCTTTTGAGGTGTGAGGACCTCATACAGATGTTTCTCATGCTTATTGTGATGTGTGAAGCCCTTTGACTCACTTGGAAATGGCTTGGAGATTCAATTTTGGACTATGCCTCTTTAATGACTTATAAACGAAGTAACAATGTGCCAAACTAAGAAAATGAGGTATTGACCTCAAACCAATGGTATACACCATTCATACAAGTCATATATGATGTGTTCAAACCATAAAAATCATCAAAATATCTTTAACACAAAAAGTCATCTTTTCATTTGACCTCACTTTGAATTCAAGCCAATTTTGAACTACAAGTCCTCAAAATATCCATTTTTGGCCTTAAATCAAAAGAGAAAAGTTGAAGAGGAGGAAATTCTAAGAAAAATGCAAAAGGAACCACCTCAATTGAGTAAAAGATGAAAATTTTATGAAGCAAAGAAGTTGCAAAATTGTATGAAATGTATGGATTTCATTGAGCTAATTAGAAGCAAAATTGGACTTTGATGTAGTTGAATGAAATGCAGATTGAGGTAATTAGAGTCGCATTATTCAAAGAACCACTCAATTTGGCCAAAGAATGAAGGAGTTGTGACCTTTTGAAGTTGGAGTCCCAGTCTCAATAGGTAAAAATGGACCTATAATGTCAACCCAAAATAAATGGGCAAAGAGGAAAAATAAAGCTTAACAATGAATAGAAAACTTGTAGAGAATGACTTGAATTGAATTTTGAACTTTAGATGGGCTCCATAGGCCAAAGTATGAGAAAGTTATGCCTAGTTGAAGTTCGTGAAAATTAGGGTTTGGACTTGTAAAGTTCATTGAGACTTGGGACACTTCCCTTGGGACTCTTGTATTGAAACTGAAATCACTTGAAGATGAATCCATTTAGAGTGCATAACAAAAATAATGGCTTTATTTGAGTGAAGGATGACCAAGATACGACTTTTGGAAGTTCAGAGCCACTAGGTCAAGCATCCATAGGGACCATCTTGAGTAATTATTATCAAACATGGCTTTGAAGCCAAATTTGAGCCTTGACATAATTGAATGAATTGAATATGACTTGATTAGGGATCCATATCCACAAGAACCACTATCATAACATTCTCCATGAAGGAGATACATCCATTTGAAGTTCAAATAGTAACATCAACCTTGCAAACCCTAACTTGAGGGATTCTTCTTAACAATCAAGTAAACATATCAAATTGAGAGATCAATCATGATATACCAAGGTTAGCAATACAAATTAAAACATGGTACCATGAGATACAAGAACACCTTGAGTACCATTGAGATGATGTAGAACCAATCACATAAGAGAGCCCATGCTTGTGACATTTTCTCAAAAGTTCAAAAACCAATGAATGAATGAATGCCTAAGATGAATGAAATATTAGGGGTAAAAATAGAAGTATGATACAAAGGTAGTCTCAAGTATGGATGGACTGCCAGTATAATCAAGTTTTTTCATGTTCTTCACAAGTTTACCAAAACTTAAAATAACATCAAGATTGTGATCGGTGGATCTGGAACTGACTGTTTAACGCTGGTTCGCGAAATGTCGCGGAAGCAAGAGTCGCCACCGTCTTTTATTTTCTCCAAATGGAAAGGACAAAAGCACAGAAAAATTCCTTAAAGAGATTGCTCTCGGTTCGGGAGGTAGGTTATAGAAAGGGAAGGTGTTAGCACCCTTTCTATCCATGGTTATCCATGGGCTCTTAGATACTTGCTCAATGTGTTTTCAAAATGTTTGCTTGCTTTTCAATGTGGGTTTTAAAAAAGTTTCTTTGAAAAATTTCAGTTCGACTCGTACGTCAGAGTGTTTGAAAAATTTGCTTTGAAAGCTTTTGAAAAGTGTTGGTGTGAAAAGATTTCAGTTTGTTTTGAAATTAGAGCAAGTATCCTTGAGAACCTACCTACCCTAAGGAATTCGTCTGTGTAAATGTCCTTTAAAGTAGTGCCATCCCACCATTGAGAGGTAGGTAGCACCACCGTTGGAGATGTTCGGGTCAATTCGAGTTTGTAGGGACATGGTGATCACCAGAGCAATGGGAAGACACCTTAGAAGCTACCCTCATGCCAGGTTCCCGGATCATGAGGACTTACTAAGACGTCCTCTACTCGACGATCACCTTTCG